TTCAAATAACTTTAACTGAGGAGGATTTGAATTATTTCGTTGCACGCATTGACATTGCCATGGCGACAGCCACTGCCCTGGCTTGATCTTTGAGTGGGAAAATAAATACATTATATAAAAAGCTTCAGACTTAATTGAGGGTGCTTTGTCACGGGTGATAATAGAACGCATTACATATTCCCATGCTCAGGCAATCTAGCTGTCAGGATTTAATTATCATCATCAGAACGGATTATAAGAGGGACCTTTAATCAAAAAACATTGTCCAACAACAAGAGAGTGGAAAAAAAAGACAATTTGAGAGATCAATGCTTTCACCCCATCATCTACCACTAAAATAACAACTTCTTTAAATGAGCACTGATATTACAGAATGACAAGGAATGCACATGATTAAGAGGTAATACCATTCAGATTGTACTATAACCCCAAATGAGATAAATGGGGGGAAATCACTGCATCTCTTGCCAGTGCTGAATTTGATAATTCAGACTTATTAGCTACCGCTAAAGCTCCAATTATCTTAATTCATCTTTAGCGCTCTCTTGTTTAGCCAGGTGTGTAAAGGGCTGACTCTGCAGTAACCTACGCAAGACTGGCCCTCTCTGCAGAAAAGACTCTGCTCTTCAAAAAGTAAGACGTCCTCAGAGAGCCGCAGGGGCCTACGATCACGCGCTAGAATCATTCAGGCTTTCAAAGCAGGAAGTATAATCTATTGATAGTCTGGAACGTTGAGAAACTGTGAGGAAAATGGCTCGGGCTATTTAGCCAATCATTTGTGACTGTTAAGCCGGCGTTGTAAGTGTGCTGCTCTCGGACCCTTCCCCCAAAATGGTTGGACTTAAAAGAGGTAACGGTGAGAGAAAGTGGTGAAACAGGATTATACTTCCAGCCCTCAAGGACACTCTTTAGCTGAATGTCAAAAGCAGCCACGTTGAGCCTGCAAGAACCTGGGCAGGCACAGATCTGAACAGAGCTGGACATTTGGACAGCGCCAAAATTTACAGGGCCTACTGCAGTCCATTCACTATCACAAAGCACTGCAAAGTCACACTGTTCAGATCATAAAACATAAAGACTGAGTTCTTTAAACAGCCTAATATAACCCTGTATGATTCAACTGACCGTCTGCAATATAACAGTAACTCAACAATCCATGCTTAGCAACCATCACTAGGCATCAGATTCTCACTCAAACGCAGGCGGCTTTCTCAAAATAGTGTCTTGGCTCCAGAGTCAGAGCACATGATGACAAAAGTTTAATTTATATGAATATTTCACAAGGATAATCACAAGTAATACATAAGAAACATGATAGGTGTTTTAAATCATTCTAAGCAATGAGATTTAGAAAGCAATTACATTTAGGAAGTTGTGCTCTATAGTTTTATTGGGCACTTGGCCTTTTTCTGAAAGTCTAAACACCCGGACAAATAGCCCTACATCACCAAATGAACAATGACAAGCAGACAGAGGTCTCTAAATACTGTGTCTTTTGCTTTTCTTCTCGCTTTAACTTTGAGGATACAGTACTAGCTCAATTTGCTATTACTGATAATGCAAGCCTTAAATGGTGCCCTCCTTTACCTAATGCACAGGCTGTACTACAACAAACGTATGTTGATGTGTCTGCTGGGGTTGCACTGTGGTCTACTTTGCAAAGTCTACAAAGTCTAAATTAGGCTTCTGATGCATGCAGTCCCTTAACAATGCATGGATAAAAGTAAAGTCCATGAGACCATGCAATGAAAGTGAAGAGTATTTGCAAACTATCTGGAATATACTTATGTCTGTTATTCAGACATTAGTTCAAGCAGAAAATCTGTGCAAGCTCTGTATGTAAGCTGGAACAAGCTGATGCAGCCAAACTATTAGAAGCTCAAGTATAGGTGAGTTACGAAGTCTCTGTTACTTGAAGGACTAAATTAGATATAAAAACTGAATGACAGATTGGCAAATAGTACAAATACACACAGCAAGGAGAAGGGTCAGTGGAATTATTACAGTTAAGGGGCTCAGGCCAAAATTTGTATCATACCTTAATGATCATGCAGATGCCTGCAAAGAAAAATGGTCAAAGCAGAAAGCAACAGAAAGGCAGAATGAGGATGAAGGAATGGGCATGGATCCACAGAGCGGAAATGATTATGTTGAGGAGTGTAATTGGAAGTTTTGAAAGGCCAGTCCTAGACTCAGCACTAGAAACTACGGGCTCCAAGACAAAGCTAATCTCTCTACCTAAAACACTGCTAAGATTACACAAACTGGTGCTCGATGTAAAGCTGCTCCTTCTCATTAATTTTGTCATAATTAGCCTATAGTAATTATCTGCAAGTTTATTAGATGGGAGAGCAGACGTTGGCACAATGTTTGAGACCACTGAAAACCGTTCTCTTGCAACCTGGTTGCCAAGCAACAAAGAGCATGATTGAGTCTCTGTGCAGCAACTGTTTACATTTTGGGGAGGTTTCAGCGCTGCATCTGCGTGATGTTGAGAAGAGTGCATCAATGGTATCTTCTCAATCTTGAGGGAAACTGTTCAAAATGAGCAGCTGATGGAAGTGGACAGGGGAGTGTGGGGCTGGCTACAGCTGCTTCAAACTGCATGGATTTGATGAGTTTTTCCATCATGTAGACAAAGAGAAGAGACTGAAAGACTGCTATTACGTTTTAGAAGAAAATTATACTGAATGAAAACACTGACACTGAATGAACGTACTATTGAGAGACTAAATAACCTAAGGAGAATTTCACTGTGCCAAAACCAATGTGCGTTTCTATGAAAACCCGTGTGTCCCGGCTTGCTTTAAACAAGCGTTTCTCCAATTTTAATCCTCTCTTCTCCTTGATGGCTTGCCTCAGTGTCATCACTGGAGGTCAGCTGAGGTAAGCGCTTTTCCTCTCCCCGCACTTTTTAAAACAAAGGCGAGAGCCTCACACGCCATTCCAAAATCAGAGAGAATGGCTTAATGAGGACTGTGTGTCCTTAGAGTCCATTTCATTACTGAATCTCTCCAAACAGGACACCTGACGCAGCAAGGCACTAATGCCTCCCCGTCTGCCGCTGGGGGAGCAATAAAAAGAAACTGAACACTACGTAACGCTAGAAATAAACGAAGGCGCGACTGCCTGGACTGAATAAAAATGAAAGGTCAGCGTCAAAGAGTGGCGAAGCTTTCAGCCTTTACCACTTCATCCCTCCACTACTGCTGAAGGGTTATTTAACCCCAAGCCGCCTGGGGCAGACATGAGAAGCGGGGCAAGCTGGACACTGAGAGCCTCTATTCTGGGAAAAGAGCAGGCCATGTTGCTGATCTGTTCCACTCAGGCCTCAGCGGTTCAAACTCGATCTCGTCAACATGTCCTGCCGTGCTGGACTGTCCCCTCTCTGCAGCCATACAGCCAAAGGGAGAGAGAGGCGCGATTGGCCAAGCCAAACCTGTCTCCTTTAATTCACTCGGCTTTGTCTCACCAAGTCAATTCCACTTGCTGAAGAAACGGTGGCGCAGGATGTGAAAGGGTCAAACTGCATGAGACGTCATTTAAAAAACACCAAACACTGTGTCCAGAGAGGTGACATGGAGACGGGGCGAGGGGTGTGTGTGTGCGCGCGTATGTTTGCATGTGCGTGTCTCTGAGGGAGTGTACACAATTGAGTGACTTTCTGCTGCCTCCACGTAGAATCAGACAGCAGATACAGAGATGCACACTTCAGGTTATTTTCAGGCACAGGTAAATCAATAAGACAAGAGTTTGATATACTTGTCCAAACACAAAAGGACGCAGTTATTCATGCCAGGTTTGGTCTGGTTCAGGCATCATTTCTCAAATATTTGGCAGGTTTGGTACAGGTCCAAATTTCACAGCTGGGTTTCTCCCATATTTAACAAATTGTGGTTTGTATTTACCTCTGCATTAGTCTTTTCTACTTACTCTTTTCTTCTCCTCTACTTTTATTACTTGAAACAATTTTCTATATAATAATTTGTAATAATACATCCACAGGGGTTCGCAATAGCTTATGTACAGTTTATCCAAAATACAAAGGAGGAAAAACAGGATGTTGTTTTAAAGCATTGACTGATTAATTTTGGATAGTTGTAATTGTTTTAATGTTTGTTCACTGATAGGGACCGTCACTCCACTGCTGCTGTTGCTGAAGTAATATAGCAGGTGCAATCATTAAGAATGTGAGCCAACAATTTCCATTTGGCAGTGGTCGATTTTGGGGTTAGCCGCTGTTAGAATGCTTTCAGGCTACATTTGGATTCAGACTAAAATTTAAGTTCAGATTAAAGATCCGGCCTAGGAGTCTTTGTTTGAAAAAGAGAGAGATGTGCCCAGATGATGGATTCAAAGAGGAAGGCAGAGGCAGACTCTCTGTTGCCTTCAGCTGTAGATCATAATGATATCAGCGTGAGGCCCTTCCTCTCTCTCTCTGGGTGATGTGAGTGAGGCATAGAGGACAGGAGAAACAGCTGGTGAGGCTGCATTTGACCGCCAGTCCCATCGCTTTCCTTCGCCCGTTGGAGCCATAATGAAAATGGAGAGTGAGATTGGGATCGCGGTGAGAGAGACCTTCATCAATCAAAGCTCAGTGGAGAAAAAGAACAGAACTGGCTGATAGTGCCAAATTCACAGCCTTGTTTCACCACACATACATCCCCCAAGGTACACACTCATTCCAAAGCCTTGCGTTTGTTCGGCACCCACTGTTCCTGGCATTTGAGCGCCCGTGTGTTCGGCCTGAATTAATGCGACATGACAACAGGTTTGTTCGTCGCCTCACTACCCCTCCCAAGCTGGGCTAGATTTTAGATGACTGAGACTGGCCTTTGCTCCCCATCCAGGAGCAGAGCTGAGAAACATGAGACCACGCTGATTAGCGCACTCCTACTGATTGGATCTGATCTGACAAATTTGTTTGCAAGTCTGGTCTCACAAAAGCGCCAGACCTATAATAAGGGCGTATGTGTACATTCGCATACATACACACTTACCTTATCTTTCCTCTGCCTGGCCACCTCCTCGGCCGACTGCAGGGTTTTGTAGTAGGCGCTGCGCTCGGCTGTGAAGTGGACCTTGGAGAGAGAGTTCTCGACCAGAGCCACAGACAGATTCACCCCTTCAATGTGGAGCCAGCCTATGAAGTTCCCAGCTTTATCCATGCTCTCAACCTCCACCTCCACCTGAGAGAGAGAGAGAGAGAAAAATGAGGAGAGTTAATGTACTGTATCTAGGATTAGTCAAGAGATTCCATTACAGCATGAAAAGAAGAGCCCCTAGTCTTAAACAGACAGATCTGTGAAAGAGACTGAGTTTTTATTGATCACCCACCAGGCTCTGCACCTGGTGGCAAAGGGAGCCTCTCTTACCTACACATACACAGGGTGACTGTCAGCGAATCGCTCATCTTTCTCGCACAATTAAACATTGGGTCGAGCTTCAGTCATGAGCTAACTTTAGCCTGACATTCTCAATTAAAGCACATGCATGCACGCACACTAACCTTAGACTGACATTCTCAATTAAAGCACACAATCAGGGAACACAGACCTCTAATATATCACATTTGTCTCAGAGTGACAGGGGGTATTTACTGGCAAGCAATCAGACATGAGAGGGAAGGACAAAAGGTCTACATTTTTGCAAAAAGGACAAAGGAAAAAAATGCACAGCCTCAAGTAGCCTCAAATTTCAGGTGATATATTTCTTGGATTCTGATTTCTCAGTCAGGGTTGTGTAATCAACTCTGGTTCTAGAGCAGTGGTTCCCAGCCTTGATCCTGGAGGCTTGGTAACGAGCTAATTAACTGTGTAAGGTATTGAGAGCTGGGTAAACACTAAAATGTTCAGGGCAGGGGAGTACTCCAGGACTAGAGTTGAACATTTTCTAGTTCCAGTAGCAACAAACAGCTCAGGTTTCATGCTGTTAGCTAAATAATACCCCAGCACACATGTTGCTGCTCCAAAGTTCTGTATGGTTACAAAAATGTATATTAGCTATGATACACAAAAACTCTTAGAAATCAAAGTATGATGATTGCCATGTCTGAGAAAAGCAGACAATCTGCAAGGAAGAAAACAATATTTGTATCACAGTAGAAACTGTGAAAAATATAAACATATCTTTGGATGGGACCACCAAAGCCTTTACCAAAAGTAATGATCTGCCCATCATTATTTGCCACTCTCTTCTCTTAAAGAATTCTTAGTATTTTACAGCAAGCTCAAACTGTACATGCTAGTGCAAGCTAACACTTTCCCTTCCTGGCATTTGTTGGGTCTGACAGTCTGGTGGTTGTATAGGAAGGACCGTCTGCTGAGAAAGCAGTGGGACCCATCACACCAATTCAGATTCCATTCTATTAAAATTCAAAATTAAGATTTCCAGTCACCAGATTTCCTTCCAGAACTCAAGGGGTCTGGTACCAAGACTAACAGATGAGTATGAGAAATCCAGGGCTTAGAGACAGTTACAGCTGTTGCAGCTTTCTGCATTATTTTTTCCACAGCTGAAGCAGAAAATATCTTTACGTCTAGAAGACTGAATACAGGCTAGTAAGGGAAAAATCAGGAAGAGTGAGCTTAATAATCTACTGATCTATATAGTACTGGCATTTCATAAAAGTGAAAAACGAAAAAAAAAAAAAAGAGTCACATTGAAAGGCCCTATAAAGCCACGTCAAAAATGTGCATCGTTTTATGAACCAGAGCAAACTAAACAGCTAACAGCTAATCAAAGCTTGCTTATTTAAAACATGCACAAAAAGGCAGCCCAAACTGCTTACAGTCCCATAGCTGCTCATCACTTTTTTGTGCTCCACACACTTATGTGAAACAAACCCAGTTTTGTGAGTTTGTTTTAGGGTAGACATGGGAATTAGACAGACAGGTATTGTGGAAAGACACTCCAGGAGTCAAGCGATTAAGACTGGGCTGTTCAGCCCCTCAGCCCCCTGGGAAATCTGCTGGGAATTACTTGGGAGGCTGAGCCAGCGAACGTGGAGAAAGTAAAAAGCTTTTTAATGAGGGCATAATCGCCACTTTGATTAAACACAAGCATGACAACCAACTTCACATTATTGGGACAAACAAACACACTTCCCACTTCACTGCCGGCTAATGTAAGGCTAATGTGCTCCCCTCAGAAACGACGGCCCTCCTGTTGAGTCTGCACCCAGCAAGCGCTCTCTTACAAAGTGCACACTACACCTTACTTGCTAAACCCTAGGTCTTCTAGCTGCTCTTAATTAGATAAATATGGGCCCAGGTGATGGTTTTAGTGAGTCAGTCAGTGACTGAACAAGAAAATGAGAATACAAAGATATTATTGTGCATCAGACTGATGGTGACATATGGCATTCTGGGCAAAGAGACATAATTCACAGGCTTATCTTAATACAAGGTCACACTCAATGCTGCACATTGGAATTCTCAGAAAACACCAAATAACTGTCATAAGCCATTGTATTCATTTTTGCAATTACATGAATTTAATCTGGACACAATAAAGTGAAACCCTAATATCACATTCTACTTTCCTACAATTCTATAAGTAGATTGAAATATGAAGCTGAAAGAAAGTGTGACTAAGGATCCATTGCCCCCATTTCACAAACATAATCTATGAATTATCACAGTAGGGAATTTACTGAAGCCATGCTGATGGCCCATGGTTAGTATATTTCTCCCCATGTGACCACTTCCTGCCTCACTGACGCTCATTTACAGTTGTGAAGGTGCTTTCCTAATCATTTAGTGAATATGCATTTCAATCAGCACGACTGACAAATGGCTCAGTCTGGTCTGATATCCCCCCCCATATCCAGCTGAAATTTACATGGAAAGCAAAGCCCCTCCTGTGCCCATTTAGTGAGCAGGGAAATGGTTGCAGTGTTAAAAGCACTGGGAAAAATGTAATTCACACTCACAGAGAGAAAGGCAGTGGGGGGGAGGGGGTTGGAAAGTTAAAGAGAAAGAAAGGGAGGGAGGGGACAGAAAGAGGGGTTAAAAGAGGAAGCACATATGCGCCCACTTTGTGTCCCAGGCCACTTATTCAGAATAACATCATTTGCTGCACAGAGCTAGAAAGCAATAGAAAGGAAATTTGCTCAACACCTGACAATGTCACCGATTCCAGACTAATAGGCCTGGCTTGCATAGAGTGTAATGAGAACAAATAGTCCTACTGAGGTACATCAATAATACACCAGCACACTGGAATATCACGCAGGCAGAGAGGTCAATGTAGTATTACATTCCAACCCTTTCTCGTTCACACATACCCATCTTTTCTTGGCCCTCACCCATGTCAAACACTCCTCATTATCTGGCAGGGCAGCATGCTGAAGCAGCAGCTCAACATTCCGTCATTGTGTCTTATGAAAGTGTGGAGCTGCGCTGCTGCGGCTGATGGCAGAGAGAGAGAGCGAGTAAGCAAGAGAGAGAGTGGGGTGTTAATATGGCCTATTGATCAATGCTGTGCTTGCTGCTGCCCCATGCTGCTCTAGGCCTAGCACCACCTGCATACTCTAGCTGTTGTGAGTGGTGCTCAAGCAAGCAGCAACAGCTAACATTTCACACCTCCAGAGCTAAACTACACAGACATGCTCAAAAACGTCCCGTGCAGTGCTCGCCACCTCGTCCAACAGGAAAACACGTTGGCACAATAGGGGCAGAAGGAGTCTCCTGGACGGCGCACAGATGGCTTCCTCTGGAGGCTTCACTAGAGCCAAGATAGCTCCCTGAGGAGGAAGCTTTTGAGCCAATATGGCTCCCGGTGGAGCACAAATGGCCTTCACAAGAGTGAGAAATGCAGTACTGGGCAAAGCAGGAAATAAATACACAAAACTTCTACCCAAAAAGTCCATCTTGCTTCTGCAAAATATATGAAGAAAATCGCACGATGCTTTAGACAGGCCATGGAGAAAAAAAGAGGGATTTTCAATCCTGCTCTCGGAGTAGCTCCGGTCTGCACATTTTAGCATTTTCCCTGCTCCAACATACAGTTTTACCCAGGATGGGCTGAGGAGTCAGATACAGTGTGCCACAATTGGTGTGGGTAAGGGGTGAGCTACATGCGTATTTTAAGAACACAGCCTGATGTTCTGAAAAGATCTTAAGTAGTGAAAGTGAAGGTGAAGTTTTAGTGAAGTGAAGTGAAGGTTTAGCCCTATTGTCAGGGGATTAGAGACTGTGATTAGTGCAGCCAAAGGACTGGACAGGGGTACTCAGGATCAGGATTGAGAACCACCGTTGTAAAATAAAAACATGTTTTAAATAGAGGTTTATCAAAACAGCAAAGACAAGCAAATTCCCTGCCTACCAACACGCTCTTTTACAACATTAAAATTCAGATCATAAGTGTCAACCTCTTTAGCCTTCACCGATCCTCCTGTCCTTAAACCATTCCCACAAACAGATATACACACACTTTTGCGCTACAGCTCTCCCTCCGCTCTGCCCTAATCAGCTGCCACAGTCAGTACCGCACACATTCTAAATCTGCTTTTATGGCAGGGCCCAATTACTAGAGGCCTCTCGCTCATATGTCGTCTCTCTCTCTCTCGCTATAAGCCCATCATGACCATAAAGGGCGGTGGAGGAACGGAGCCAAGCACAGAGAGCGTAGTGCGTTTTGATTCTCTGATGTCACATGAGGATTCATCTTGCGCCTCTAATTTGCAGATGTAAGCACCACTTCCAGCCGAATACCAAGCAGGCAGGTTGCGGTGGGGGCTGGGCTGCAATGTCCTCATTCGTTTTCATTAAACGGCAGCTCCTCTATGAGTAATGTAACCTGCCATGGCGCTTGAACCATAATGTATAATATTATAATATTAAAGGTGGAAGGGGAGGGAGAAGGGAAGGGGAAAAAAAAATGCGAGGCATTTCATCAACAAAAGGTACCAAGGGTTGCATCACACTTGCAAAGCAATTGATGGGAGAGACTGTGTGCGTGAGTGTGAGCGCGTGTGTGTCAAGGGGAACGGGAGAAATGCACGTGGTTTCAGCACCAACACAGTGTGCTGAAAAGCCAACGATGATGGGCAGGTAAAGGAGGGAGATCTGACACTCCACTCAGAGGATGAAGCTTTGTGTGCGTGTGGCTCTGGTGTGAAAGAGAGGACGAAAGAGTAAGGAGATGAAAACACAGTTTAAAGCTGTGCTTTAAGCTCGGCGCTGGC